AATTTACTTTAAGGTCATCAAGTACACACAGGATCAAGTCAGTACCAATAAATCAGTTAAGTCCAATGCAACAGCAAACACAAAATAAATTATCACTCCATTCCTGGGTAAGAGTAATCTTTGAAACCGTACCAGCTTTTGTACCAGCTCTGAGGTTGAAAGGTTTGATAAGGTTTGATGATTTCGAAGACAGAGGCAATTTTTCCATGTATTTTATGGAGTATTCCTGTAAAAGACAAACATAACAAAACCAAGTACCTAAGGTGTAAAGCCACGGTTTGGATCCTCAGGAAGCACTGTTAGCCTGGCCTTCCTCTGTCCCAGTGCAGGTACCTCCTCCTCTTTCGGGGGTTTCCTTCCTAAAAAGCATCACCAGGTGACACCCTTACAAAGCTTCCAGCAAAAGTCATAACTAAGTTGTGTTTTCCCACAAAAAGTCTGCAACAGTTCATAATTACCTGTTTTGAGTTGGCAAGGTACCTGCATTTAAGGGGGGAAGATTCCAAAAGTACAAATGCAAAGAATCAGGGAGTCTAGAACAAGAAAAACCACACACAACACTGCTGCTGCCTCTCCCTGCACTCCAATATCCTGAGTACCAGCTTTTTTTTTTTTAAGAGATAATTTCTTAATATTTATTTCTTAGTTATTCTTGGCGGACATAACATCTTTGTTTGTATGTGGTGCTGAGGATGGAACCCGGGCCGCACGCATGCTAGGCGAGCGCAATACCACTTGAGCCACATCCCCAGCCCAGTACCAGCTTTTTTTTAAAGCAAGTTATTTATTCCCACACCACAGCACTAGCCAAAGTCAGGAATCCTCGCTTCTACTTGTCTATAAAGGCTCCCAAAACAGTGAACTTTTCAGAGGTGCAGTTGTCAAATGATCAGGAATTAAATAAAGCATGATTTCAATTCAACATCATAAGAGCAAAGTTCTAAATCTGTGGCAATTAGCCAAAACAAAACTTTTCTAATTTTTCAAGTGAATGCAACATAAACAGCAGTTGAAAACAAAAATTACAGCCCTATTAGCAAAGAAACATTCATTAATAAGAACATGGAGCAATGTTTTGGTAATTTTTATTTTAAAGACAACACTGCACTCACAGTCATAAGACCACAAAAGCAAAATGCTTCTTCACCAGTCTAGGAAGTGACTACCAGACACCTGCAAGTGCAGCTTAAGAGAACAGTTAGGCAGATCCCAACATCCAGCTTTGCTTCCCTTCCTCTCTTAAGGCAGCATCTTCTTTTTGTGTGTCTGTCAAAGCAGGAAGAGAAGCACTACTACAGCGATCACATAGGAAGGGATAGGATTCTCTTCCTACCCACCTGCCACCTCTCTTAACACTGAACCCCCCTCTTTATTTTCCATCCAGCAGCACTGCGAAGCAACTCTCTGGCGGCCCCTGACTCCTCCATGCTCCAGGATCAGAGACTTTCTATCAGAGAATAGGCATAAGGTAACCAGCTTAGGTGATGAAAGGTTCTAAACTACACTGTGGTGATGACATCACAACTCTTTAAAATGACAAAAAAAAAAAATTAATTGCAGCATTAGCAATGGACGAATGCTATATGTAAATTACACCTTAACAAAAGTTTATGGGTTCGCTGTTGTTGTTTTATATTGGGGATTGAACTCAAGGGTGCTTTACCACTGAACCACATTCGCAGTCCTTTTATCATGAGGCAGCATCCAGCAAAGTTGCTGAGGTTAGCCTCCAACTTGGTCCCTTCTGATGACGGGTGTGCATCACCAAGCAGGACCTCAAAAAAGATTTTAAAACAAATAATGACCAAGGGCTAGAGAGTGGGATAGTGTGCTTGGGAAAAAATTGCATAAAAGAACCAGAGACCCAACACGTAATTAATAATACATCTAAAACATGTATCTCCATTGCCCCTGAGCCTTCCAAGGGGACTATTACAAATTCCTTAGGACCTTAGCATATTCCTTACGACCTTTTTATCTCCCTTTCATTCTGCTCCCCCCAAAAAAGAAAAGAAGTCCTCACTCTGAATCACCTTCATGATTATACCTACAGAATTAAAAACAACTGATGCACATGGCAATAACAGTGTAAAGCTGGCAGGTGATTCTAGAGAAATCAATTCTAGTTGTCCAAAAGAAGGGGGGGAAGGGAACCATGTGATTGATTCCCCAAGCCAGACTGCTTCAATCCCATTTTTTATTGCCTCTCAGAGTCTTTACAAGTTGAATTACAGTCATCTGGATACATGTCTTGCCATCCTTTACACATGTCCCTCTCCTACCCAATGCCTTCAACAGTATCTTCCACAGCCTAGGAAGAGTGGCAGTATTTTCCTAATCATATTTAGGAATATCAACTCTGTCTTCATAGGGCAAATAGAGTTCTGTTCACTGCTGGGCTCCCACTAATTCAAAGCTGTTCTCCCAGACTGACTGGTAGATGACACTGACAATAAAGAAAAGAATGACCAAAAACTTCAAAATAACCATGGGCTAGACAACTAGGCTGTTAAAATACAGCTAAAACAATTTCTATGTCAGTCAACAAATTGTTCTAAAATCCCTGATTTTTGCCTATTACCCAGTTCCAAAACTCAACAACAGGGCTGGGTTGTAGCTCAGGGGTAGGGCATTTGTCTAGTATGTGCAAGGTCCTGGCTTCAATCCCCCCCAGACTGGAAAAGAAAGAAAAAGGAAAAAAAAAAAAAAGTTTTGTACTGCCGTCAATACCAAGTCTGATTAATACCAGACAAGACAGAAAACGTCAGGTTCATATCAAACCTGTGAGGTACCAAAAAAAAGACCCAAGAAAAAACAGCGCAGTGGCAAGTATCACAGAGAAATTAACCAAGCTAATGCACAGAAGGACAAGATGAAACCCATCAAAAACTCACTGTCCCCACACGACGCCCATCCGTAATTGAGGAAAGCCAAGGTGTTAACTGAATTCTGATTAATGCCTTCTGCAAAGATCTAAAACACTAAAATAGTGATAATAACCAAAGTCAAAGAAATCTCAGTCAAATAAGAGTATCACAACTTGGTGAGAGTTCAAGTCCTCAGACATGTGAAATGTATGTTCAAATACTACTCAATGACAGACATCAAAAAAACTGCCTGAGGATCCATAAAGGTACTACAAGCAACTTTGCCTGAACTTACTCTGAAATATTTCATAGTATTTGTTAAAAACTGAATTTCACTGTCATCATCTGTGGCCCTAAAAAAAACTTTATTCTTTAAAGTCAAAACCTTCCACGTGCTTCCAAAAACCTGATGAGTCAGGTTTTTAAAAAACTTTTCTGCAGAAACTGAAATGCATTTCATTATGAGATAATTATTCCCAGCAATAAATCAGATGTAAACTTTTGAGTTTGGCTTAAGTTTCTATTCACCAGTGAGATTCTCAAGTTCTTAGGAGTTTCCTATCATTTACTTGAACACCATCTACAGTAACACTCAAAGCAAAACCACAATAAAGAGGTTTGGCCTCTGAGGGATTCTACATGTAAAAAACATTACTCATAAATAATACACAATCACTATTGTTTAAGTAACAAATATGTTTCTAAAGTTTCATGCCATCTGATGGAATCCCCTATTTTAGATAGCAAAACAAAATCCATGAAACCATGAATAAAGGTTTTGTTTTTTAATTTTAAGTAAACCTATGATGAATTTTAAGTAAATCTATGATGATACAAAAAGTTGACATGAATTTACTTTTAGGAAAACTACTTATGGGGAAATATCTTCCTCAAGTTCTATACTATTTTTATTGAGGAGTTTCATTACTTAAGAGTTAGTGGAAATCACAGAATAGTTCTACCGGCAATTGGACAAAATAACCCCACTTACATGCTTTTAGATTGTCCAGTATCCTATTTAATCCCAGGTATAAACACAGCAAGGAACCCTCAACACGACACATTCAAATAACTACATCCAGTTGGAGCACTACTACACAGACACATTGGAACACCACCAATCAAAAACAGGTAGCTAGTGCAATGAGACTCCTGGCCACCGACTTTAAGTTCTAAAGCATACACCAAGAACTGAATGTCTTCCTTTGACACACACCCCAACGCCTGCCCATTAAATGATACCAAGAACAGTTTCACTTCAAACACGACTGAAATTCCAGATAAAAGTTTAAGGATGACCGGAAGACCACAAAATCAGTCTTGACATTTCCTCCCAGGGGATCCAGAGTAGTTCTACTCCGTTGGTACCATACAGTCTACCACCTTCATTTACATGAAAAGGAATTCTTTCAACCAACATTATTTTCATCACAATGAAGCTTAAAACACAAACTTCAAAATAGTCATTCCATTCACTTCACATTTTGCAAAACCCCATCACCACTCTGCATAAGCTAATCATGCAGGTGAAAGAGAAAAAAAAAAAAAAAAACCTGACAACTCAGCCTTCCAAAACATGCACTTTCTTTATCATACCCCCAACGTCTATTTTCAAGTGCAAGAAAATAACAGACATTTGCAGCTCCAACAAGAAAAGCACAACCAGCCTTTCTGTACTACCACCATTAAATTTCCCAAAGAAGAGGAAAATAACTCAGGACAGGCAAATTAAAACCATTCTGCACATGGAAGAAATTTTAAAAAAATAAAAAATTTTTTTAAAAAAAGGTCTCATGTCCTACAATCCATAGCAAGAGCACTGCTTCCTCTCTTTCCGAGCCAACACCAATAAGCCAAAAGGATACAAGTGTCAACCCCGGCGTCTGTATGAAATAAGACGAAAACCTGGGAAAATTCCTTCCCATAAATCATCCCGGGAACACGAGGCACTGCACCCAACGCCGAAGACACACGACCCCAAACCCGTCGCCCACCCCCAGGGCGCAGGAAAAGCCGCGATCAACAAGTTGGAGCCGGGGCAGAAAAGTACAGCTCGCCGCCCTCCCCCCCCACCCCCCCAAAAAAATTTTTTTAAAGCCCAGTGCCCGACAAAGGGGGCCGGGCGCCGCGTACCTGGTGGAGGTGCCTTTCCGCACGTCGCAGATGCTGCATTTGAAGGCTTCGGCGCTGTTCCTGAAGGTGCACACGCTGCAGTCCCAGAAGCCCTCGTCCGCGGCGGGCTTGGCTTGCCTCTTCGGCCTGCGCGAGCGGGGACAGGGCACAGCAAAACACAGGCGCGCGTGAGCGGCGCGGTGCCGCAGGAATCCGGCGCGGCAAACTTCGCGGCGCCCCCCGCCCACCCCGCGCGGCCGCCAGCCCGGCCGGGGGCCTCGCGCACCCGCGGCCGACCGGAGGCCGCGGCGGGCGGGCGGCGCGTCCAGGGGGCGCGGGGCGGCGCGGCGGGGCGCGGGCCGCCGCCGCCGCCCGCCCGCCCGCGCCGCCTCCTCCCCACCTGGGCAAATCTCCTTTGTCTGGGAGGAGCGGCGGCGGCGGAGGGCGGCTGAGGAGGAGCCGCCATGGCTGCGGCGCGCACGGCCCCGGCCCGCGCGGAGCGCCGCCGCCGCCCGCCGGTCTCCATCTTAGCCGCGCCTCCCCGCGCGCGCCGCTCGGGCCTAGTCGCCGCCGGCCCCCGCCGCCCCGGCCTCCCTTCCGCCAGCGGCGCCCAGCAGGTACCTGGTCGGGCTCTTCTTGTCGCCCATGGTCATGGACGGGCTGCGCCCAGCCCCCCCCGCCGCCGCCGCCGCCGCCGCCCGCAGGAGAAACGCCGCCCGGGAGTCGTCGCGGACCGGCCCCCCTCCCTCCCCCGCGCCCGCCCGCCCTCAGCCGCCGGGGCTCGAGCTCGGCCGCCGCCGCCGCCGCCGCCAGTCTCCGGACGAGACTAGTCCCCGCCAGCGCCGCCTCCGCCGAGTGACTGACGAGGGGCGGGGCCGGCGCCGCGCGTCACGCGCCGGGTGGCCAATGGGAGCGCGGCGGCCGGCGCCGCGGGGGCGGGGGCGGGGCGCGGGGGAGGCGGGGCGTGGCGGACGTGAGCCGGCCGGCGGCGTGCGTGCCCGGGAGCGTGTGCGCGCGGGGGGCGCGCGTGCCTGCCGGGGGCCTTAGCCGCCCGGCGCGGCGGAGCGTGCGAGCCCGGCGGGGCGCACGTGGCCGCGCCCGGGGGCGGGCAACCGGCGGCGGGGCTCTGGCACGGCCGCCCCGCGGGGCAGCCGCCCAGCCCCCGACCCCCCGAGCGGCGCCCGAGAAGTAGTTGTGCGCAGTTTGCGCGCGCCGCGGGGGCTGGCAACAGCCGCGCCGCTCGCCGCGCCTCGAGGCTTGCAGCTCCCCGGCGGCCGGCAGGGCCTCCTCTGGCCCGCGTGCCCGGACGCACTTGTGCTCCTCTGCCACGCGGAGCTCCGGAGCCGCCGCCTCCAAAGTCCCGGCCTCGGGTGGAGACGGCGGCCGGGTCGCGGGAGGGAACTCTGCAGAGAGGGTGTGGTGCAACTAATGCCCCAGGCCAGACCCCGGGCTGCGGGCCGTCGGCTCCCCCTCCGACTCCCCCGAGCCTAAATAGGGCGTTTCCCCCGAGAAGTTGCCGTTCAGATCCTGGCGACCACATGCCTGCCTTCCAACCTTGTGCCGCAGCTCCTCGCCTCCAAAATGAGGCTCGTAACCCTCCTCCTACGGAGGTTTCGAGAATTCAGAGACACAATGGGTGGGAAGCGCGCAGATCCGCGCCTGGGCCCTGTCCGTGCACCTCGGGGGGTGGGAACGGGCGAGCCCCTCACTTTGCCCCGCTCCGGATCGCGCCAGCCTGGCCGACGTGACTCGGGAAGGGACGTCTGCCCAGGGCCGCCGGGGAGAGGCTAGGGGCCAGACCCCAGAGGCAGAGGTCGCGGAGGCCGGGCCCAAGCCCCAGGTGGGGGAGGCACGGGACCACAGGATGTGCAGGAGGTGGTGGCTGGGTGCGGTGCGGGAGGCAGATAAGACGGGCCTAGGCCCCGTGGACACACACAGTGGGTCGTTATCAAGACTGGCCCGCGGAGGGTACGCCGGGAGAGGCCGAGAACCCAGGAAGCAGGAAGTCCTAGGATCAGTCCAGGGATCAGAAGGGAGAGAGTAAAAGAGGGAGGCAGTGTGACCACGATAAGCTTGATCAGCACTCGATGTCCTCTCCAGGCAGGCAGGCACACCCAGGAGGGCCAGGAGGAGCAGCCTGTTTAACAAGGGTCAGCAACCTCCCGGCCGCCTGCTCAGCTGCCTCCTCAGGAGGAGAGGAGGAAGAGGGAGGCTGGATCCCTTGGGGCAGAGGGGCCATAGAAGCCAAGGAACAGAGCCATGGCCCAGTGCCTGCTGCCCTGGCCTCTGGCGTCTGCGTGGCATGCTCCCAGGACTCTGCCCCTGGGGTGGGAAGGTACTGGGCATGAGGAAATGCCCCTGGAGGACGAGGAGGCACTTCAGTGGTAGAGGCTGCCTAGGAGGCATGAGGGCCTGGGTTCGATCCCCTGAGCCTCAAAATAAAAAGAAAGAAACCACTGGAGGAGTGGCCTCGGGGAGAAAACCCGTAGTCAATCCTTCGCGGAAAGGAGAATGACTTTGTTATTATTATTTGTAAAGTAAAATACACAAGCCGGATGCGGCAGGGCAGGCCCGGGATCCCAGCAAGTTGGGAGGCTGAGCCTGGAAGATGGCAGGATCCAGGAGACTCAGCAACTTAGCAAGACCCTGTCTCAAAAATAAGAAGGACTGGGGTGGAGTGTAGTACCAAAAGAAAAAGTAAAATACACAAATCATCCTGTGGCTTGGTGCGTATTGTGACACCCGTGAATCCACCATCCAGGTGAAAGTAGAAGCCGTTTTCATCCTCCCCCTGAGCTGCCCACTGTTCCAGCCTCGGCTCCAGAGTGCCATACCCACGGCCAGGCACCTCAACGTGATATCCATCCAGGCTGTCGCCTATATCCGCCATTCATTCTTCTTTGTTTGCTTAATTAAGTGTGTGGAGTCCCGTTTCAGTTACACCACGATTTATCTGTCCATAGGACGTTGACTTTTTTCAGTCTCCCTCCTTTGTCTCTGTTAACTTTCCAGAAAATAAATCATCTTTTAAAATACAGATACTAAGGGAAAGAGAGGTTCCAGAATACAGAGCTAGTCACCAGGAACTTGATCAGGTCCACAGATCACCCTGCGGCCGGAACTGTAGAGGCCCTGATTGGGTTCAGAGGTTGGAGGTGAATGTCGATGGTCTCCTCCTGGTTTACCTACTTAGGGGCCTGGCCGGCCGATGGGACTCTTCTGAAAGAGTGTGTGTGCCACCGGGGATAGCAGAGGACACCTACAGCTGCACAGACGGGAATGTCAAGATGAACCTGGTGGCAAGTTCAGAGACCAACCAGATTCCCCAGGTTGTCCCAAGGTGTTGCCATGCACCAGTTAGGAGGGGGGGACAAGTAAGAGGTGACAGCTCCTGTGGGCTCCAATCTTGCCTCTCCCTGTCACCATTCATTTGCTTTTGGTGGGCTGTTTGGTAGAGGGGGCATTCTGGGGATAGAGCCCAGGTGCACTTAACCACACTGAGCCACATCCTGGCCCTTTTTTATTTATTTATTTATTTATTTTATTTTGGACAGAGTCTCCCTAAGTTGCTCAGGGCCTCGCTCATTTTAGGCTGGCCTCAAACCTGCGGCCCTCCTGCCTCAGCCTCCCAAGTTGCTACAGAGGCCAACCAGATGCCAGGTGAGGGGATGCAAAGAGAGGGAGGGTAGGGCTATGTTCGTTCCCTGGAAAAGCGAAGGCTGCCCAGGAGAAGACCAGGCCAGAGCTCTGGGCAGCTAAGGCTCCCGGCTGTGGCTAAGGCTCGGGAGGAGAGGCGAGGCTGGAGGGGCAGCCCTGGCTAGGCCCTGTGGCAAGAGAACGAGCCTGAGTTAGGTGAGAGAGCTGTCCCCCGAGTGCCTGGGAACCACTCAGGGCTCACCAAGAGGCACCTCCACCTGGGGCTGCCTGCAGAGCTGGGAGAGGCAGACCCCGGGGAATGGGAGGTAGGGGAGGGTCCTTTGAAATGGCTGGGGAACAGGGCCAGGAGGGTCAGTGTGGGTGGGCCTCCTTCCTTCCTTTGGCTCAGGAGCCCTGTGCATGCCAGAGGAAGGGTTTGCAGAGTGTCCAGCTCAGCGGCCTCCTGCCTTCAAATGAACATTGCCACCCCCAGGCAGGAGCCCTGCTCACCCACCACGCCTGAGACTCTGTCCTTAGGACAGAGAAACAAGCCGCACCCCTGCTTCTCCAGAGGGTCTGAGTCCTGTACCATGCGCTAGGCTCTCACTAATTTGCAGCGAAAGGAGGAAAATCAGGAGTGAATAAAGGAATGCTTTGACCCAGTAAATTACCAACAACTGATTCTTGGGAAACAGTATTTTTCACTCTGAGGTTATCTCCTTCCAATTCACAACATCCTGTCTTTAATGGAGAGGTGGCATTAATCACCGCGGTGGTCTGAATGTGTCCCCCACAACCCATGTGCCTCTCTTAATATGTCCTCAATCAGCCAAATCGACAGTTGACAGCTGTGCCTTGGTCCTCTCCCCTCACCGACGTCATCCTTGATGTTTCCAGGGGACCAAGATGTCAATGACTTTGAGGGAACTTTCAGAGCTGGTGTGACTGAGCAGAAAACCGGATCTCAGGATGACCAGAGAGGTCACCCACGGCGGGCAGGAGCTGGGGAAGTCAGGCTTTGCACCCTAATTGGTGAGAATTAACGCGCTGCTTTGCGTGAACGCTGCTTCGGTGGTTTAAGAGAGAAAATTGCTTCTTGGAGCATCTAACCACTTGGTTTCCCTAAGGACACACACGGGCTGCCGTGGGTGGACTCTGGAGAGGGATGCTGCAGACAGGAGGGATTCCTAAGGAAGCAGAGAGGCCAGCTTCCCGGACCAGCATGTCAGGGAACCAGTTGCAGTGTCACCTGTGCACATGCTCATCCGGAACGTGGAGTTTTATGGACCTGCCTCTTCCGCAGCAGGAAATATCAATTCCAATTGTCCTGGGTCCCCGTTGCCCACCATTTGCAAAACTTAAACGACATCATAGACCTAAGTGTACACCCTTAAAACTTCCGGAAGAAAATATTGAGAGAAAACCTTCATGGGCTTGTGTAGGCAAAGATTTCATAGGCGCCAGGCACAGGGGCACACACCTGTGATCCCAGCAGCTCAGGAAGCTGAGGCAGGAGGATCGCAAGTTCAAAGCCAGCCTCAGGAACTTAGCAAGGACCTAAGCAACTTAGCAAGACCCTGTGTTAAAATAAAAAATAATAATAATAAAAAAGGGCTGGGGATGTGGCTCAGTGGTTAAGCACCCCTGGGTTCTAACCCTAACCCTAACCCCTCCCCCCCAAAAAAAAAGATTTACTTAAGAATGACACCAAAAAAACTGATACATGGAAAAAAAAAAAAAAGTTTAGGCTTCATCAGAACTGAAAACTTCTCTTTGAAAGACAGTGTTAAGAAAATGAAGAGCCAGGTCAAAGACTCGGGGGGGGCGGGGAGGGTCAGAATATTCACAGAACACGTACCTGATGAAGCACTCATGTCCAAAACGTCAGAAGAACTTGAACTGGACAGGAAGAAGGCCAGCAGCCTCAGGAAACGCAGGCCAAGGTTGTGAACGGACATTTCCCCCAAAGATAGACGTGTGACCACATGAAACCAGGCCCGGCAGCCCTGTTCAGTAGGGAGCACACACGCGCACAACCACAGCGAGGTGGTGTCTCTGCGTGTCGGAATGGCTGAAATCAAAAAACCTG